AAAAAAAAAAAAAAAAAAAAAAAATTGAAAAGTTCTACTAACTGGCATCAAGAATAAAACAGCATAATAAATTTTGTCCCTGTGTTCATTCTTCCATGATGGCCTGCCCTTACACTGTAGGGTGTATTTCTTTTCCTTTTACTTGGCCCAAATTCAATATACAGAGCCTGTTTCTTTTCCTACCTTTAACAAAATTTTGCAATCATTAAAAAAAAAAGCACAGTAAAACAACAGTTAAAATTTACTATAATCATTAACTTAAATTCCTGTTACAGTCTATCCTAAATTTGGAATAATAGATCTCAAACTGGAACTGGCACCAAGAAATAGACCACTGAGCCTCACCCCCAGAAATTCTGATTCAGTAGTTCTGGGATGGTCCCTAAGTACTGAATGCATTTCTAACAAGTAATCTACATATGCTACTATTCCATCAGAGACACTTGAGAACCACCAAGCCAAAGGCATCCAAGTAAGCCAGACTCCTTTCCAATTTCCCCAACAATCCTTAACGATTATACAGTTCTTTGAGTTCTAGATGACATCATTTCTCTGACTTCAACCCCTGTCCCAGCAAACTGGAATGAAGGTGAAAATTAAAGCAATCCACCCTGCTATAGTATGGACAACAGGTCTGGCAAATAGATGAAACAACCTAAAACTAATGGCTAAAACTGGGCTGGAGTTTATCCACATTCCATACTCTCCCTGTTCCAGATAAGAGTTGCTGATTAAAATAGCAATCTCAGCCAGGAGTGGTGGCTCACACCTGTATTCCCAGCACTTGGGAGGCTGAGGCAGGAGGACTGCTGTGAGTTCGAGATCAGCCTGGGCTACACAGTGAGCTCCAGGTCAGTCTCAGCTACATAGTGAGACCCTGTCTCAAAAAACCAAAAAAAAATAAAGCAATCTCACCAAAGTTCCCTCAAGTGCCAAGGCAAGGGAATAGAAAAGGAAAGCACATTTGTGTTTGGCTGTCTTGTTTGCCTCACTTCAATCTGCCACAGCTTAAGGTGGCCAGGTGCTAATCTAATTAACATTACATCACTTTGCTAATATTCCCTAGTCTAATTTGTGCCATGTTTGCTACATATAACAATTACTGTTCGCAGGAGATTCCACACTGAAAGTGTAGAGTTCAAACTTACATTTTCTAATGTTCCCAAGTCTGGTTTGTGCCATGTTTCTATTTTAATGAAGAAGTCATCTTTCATGTATTCATTCTGCAGAAAACACAACAGGAAAAGGAAAGTGAGCTTCCCCAGTTCTGAGGGGCTGGTGTCTGCAGAAGCATTCCCAGCACAAGCATGCAGGTTCTGATACCACAAACAGGACTTTCTTTAAGTGACACAGTCATTAGCCACAGTTTTTAGAGACTTGTCAAGAAAACTAAATGCTGTATGCTTTTAAACAATTTAAATAATCCTACTTGTCATGCAGCATACAGAGCTCTGTACCTGTGAGGTTTGGTCACCAAAGCTGGCATACAAAGTAGTAGTAAAAGCAAAGTAAAATCAATAGGGAGATTTTGAGACAAGGCCAGAAAAAGCCCACAAACCCCAAGAACACATGGAGCGTGGACTGGCAGAAAGGACAGGAGGCATGCAGCAATGCGTAGTTTTTTGTTTTGTACGGGAATCGAACTCAGGTCTTTGCACTTGTGAGGCAGGCAGTGGCACCACTGAGCTAAATAAATCCCCAGCCCAGCAATGGGTAGTTTTAATAAAAAAGCCAAGAATGGTTGAAAATAATTATTGTGTAGAACAAAGTTTAAAGATGAAGAGTGTTTTACAAAAGTAGTCTTACTCACCGTTACAACTGAGGCATAACGGAGACGCAGGCAATAAAACAGGAAAATTTTCAGATTAATTGGAGTTAAAACAATCTGTCCCAATATTTTATGTCACAAAGACTAACCTACCTGAAAACACAGAACATTTAGTAGCTTATGCCTTCAAAATAGTTTCTATAGAAGTAACACTATAGATACTTTACATTAGAATCCAAATAAAATATGGAGATAATCTAACTTTAATAATGCTACAGAGAATAGTACCACAGAAACAAAACACCATTTATAAAGTTAATTTAGCAAATAACAGGAAACTGTTTAGATATCTGTTATATCCCTCCCCTATCATGTGGCAATATAAGTAAAATATTGTTGAAAGTACACCAGAAGGTCCTTTTGAATGCAGATGACCTTTATGCATGATTTCTATATTCATCTGCTCACCCTTGAGCCAGCAGAATCAAAGGGGACTCCAATGCGGCTGTCACCTGGAAACAAACCCATCCTCTTGATAAAGGTCTCAAGAAGAACCTACTCCTCCACCATCACTCAAGCAGTGACTATCCAAGAACCTATCGAAGGCCATGCTTGGTGTACCCCTTAAGCTTAAACGCCTCAGCACCAGAAGTCACTCTCCTTATTCTGAGGGTAAATGGCTGCTGGGGACCAGGCTTACTTGTTCTACAGTAGGGATATGAATTCCAGGCTTTCTCATGAAATACCAAGGAGCCTTCGGGAGCAATCATCCTCACGAATGTAGGAACTTTGCTGTGAAGAGAGATTGGACATATTTCCAACTGAACCAGCAATTTTTTTGTTGAGACAAGTGACAGAATACTATTATGAAAAGTGATCATGTTCTAAGTTTGATAAAGTATTCAAGACTTGCTTTTTTTGTGAGGGGAGGCAGGGTATTACTCTACAATTCAGGCTGGCCTTGAGCTCACTATGTAGCCCAGGCTGGCTTTGAACTCAAGATGATCCTCCTGCCTCAGCCTCCTAAGTACTGGGATTACAGGCATTCACTACCACACCCATTTTATCAAGTTTTATTTCAATCTCGAAGTATTACATGGAAAATTAATGCTAAAAATGTAATTAAGAAAGTTTAATTATATATAAGGCTTTTAAAAATAGAAATAATTCTTTTTTTTTTGGTACCAGGAATCAAACTCAGGACCTCCTGCTAGCCAGGCAGTGCTGTACTGCTGAACTACATGCCTGGCCTAGAAACAATTTTGATCTTATTTCCTAAAGTCGAAACTATGTGTTGACTACAGCTACCTAGCCTGTACGTAAATGCAACATAGTAGTTCTCTTATGTAGGTAAGAGAAGCGAAATAAGCTGGAGAAGAGAGAGTATCTCTGCTGATGTACTCTTTTTTTTTTTTTTTTTTTTTTTTTTTTTGGTACCAGGGACTGAACTCGGGTCCTTGTGCTTGCAAGCCAGGCCACCGAATCGCTGAGCTAAATAAATCCCCGGCCTGATGTACTCTTTTAATATATTTTACAGACTGGACCAAAAGAAGTAGCAATGTAAATGGTGTTGTAGAACATGAGAAAGGAAGCAGATCCCAAGTACAAAATCCTGCAGGTAATATAAGCAAAGACTGTGACCAAAGGAAGGGTCAAATACATGATTAATATCCATTTCCAGTAATCTTGTACAAATTCCTAAAAGGAACACAAATCCAATAGACAAAAAAAAAAAAATCTACCAATATGTCATGAAAACACTACATTAACTAATAAATAGAAAAAATCAGTCTTGCTCATCTTCAAAATGACTGCTTTTACTGAATGGAGCCTACTGTCCACAGAGCAGCTTCACATAAATGCCTCATAACCCAGCATCACCACTTAGAGGCTATGTGACCCTGGGCCTATGACTGAACTTCTGCGTGTGCTAAAAAGAGTTCCTATCACCTATCTCAGTTTCTGGAAGAATTGGATCACATAAAAATCCATAATGTATTTATCACATCGTGCAATAGAGTAAGAGCTCAAAAGATGGTACTAATTTTAAAATATAAACCAACACGAAGTTAGGTATATTCATGTGCTTTCTTTAAACATTCCAGTAATATTATGAAGTATCACTTCATCATTTCCAATACCCAGAATTTAAATGGCTTATTAACTGTTCAAACTACCATATGTCCCCCAACTTAAAGCAATTATCTAGTTTTTCCACATCACAGCTGCTTCTCTGAGAACTTTCAAATAACAACTGCTTCAGCGAGAGAAGGAACAAACTAAGAAAATATGGAGCATAAGTAAAGACTTCTGGCCCTAAACTAAGATTACATAGTTGGCCAGAACTACTCCTATGCTGAAGTTTGGGGACCAAGCAAGACACATGGTGAGGAACCTGCACAGCCAGACAGCTGTGCAGCAGCTGTGAAGAGAAGGGGTGGTGTGGACAATCCTTTCCTTCCAGTTCTCAGATACTTGGCCCATGGTACATAAAAATGGATGAACAGCTTGCAAATTTCAGTATTCTGACAAATTATATCACAGTAAAGGAAAAGTTAATATACTACTACATATGGCAGTGCAAGGGAGATTCCAGGGACATAAAGACGTCAGTGTACATGCACCTTCATATCCTTCAAACATAATAATGAGGAGGCCTAATTCTTTGATTTGTTCTTTTCAAACTGAAGGATGATTCAAACTTCAGAAACACGAAGCCAACATAACCGAAAATAGTATCACCTTAGAAGTCAAAGAACATCCAGCACCAAGGCCTTCTCACATTGCTAAAGAGCTAGAAACTACGTATCTTTAAGTACGAGCGAGGGTGTAATTAAGGTACAACACAACACACACAGGTAATTGAAGACAAGCCACAGATTAGATTCATCTGAGAGAATGACAAACATCTATCAGTAGTTCAGCTGACTAACTCAGAAAAGGTAGACCAAAAGCAACTAGGCAGCTACATGTTAGCTCAGAAACGTATTTTCACTGCCTTAGTGAAACACTTCAATGCTTACAAATGTTCTAAAGTGAAAATGTCCTAAGTTTGTTAAGTCAAAAAAAAAGAGGACAGTTTTAATAGGCCAACAACAGGAAGCATATCTACAGGAAAGCTTTAATATTTTTCAACTTGATTCCACGGCCTACTATATTATTATTATCTGAATACTTTTTCTACCTTGTGAATTCCAATATTTCATTTTTGTTTTGACTTAGAGAATTAAAGTCCAACTCTTTGGGCTTGTTTTGTTTTGTTTTTTTTTTTTTTTTTTTTTTTTTTTTTTTTTTTTTTTTTTTTTTTTTTTTTTTTTTTTTTGTTTTCCAAACAAAGTTTTTTTTACATTTAACATTAGAACATTAACAAATATATTCTCTCTTCAATGAATCTAAGTAAATGAGTAAGCTTGGCAAAAATAAAGGAAAACTTAATTTCAAATTTACCATAAAGGAAAGGAATTTTCATTAATATATTTCTAGTCTTAATATATTCCTACCAAGGCAAATGAGGTGTGCCATTTATATATGACTGAAGGCATTTACATCATTTTTTCAACTCAGTACTGCTCAGGAAGTCACTTTCATACAATGCAGGAAATACTCTTTTGGAAGCTTGGCATGCCTCAGAAAAGGGCCAAATATAAAATAAATGTACAAAAATGGAGCTAGGCCTTCAAAAATTAACACACGAAAAGGACATTCTCTCCTCCCACAAATTACTCACAAAATGGTGTTCTCTCACAATAAACCTACGTTTATAACAGCACTTCCTTCAAGGTAATGAAGGTGTTGAACAGTGAGCCTCATACACACCAACATGCCCAAAAGTGTCCAGGCTTTCTGAGAATATATAACCCTCTTCTACCCAACTCCTATTTCACTTCGGGGTACAATTCTACCGGTGTTTGACTCCACTGTGTTGACAGGAGGTAGTATTAAGATCTCACTTCAATGTAACAATGGTTGTGAACCTGTTGGTTTTGGGGCAAGGCAACTCTACTGTGGCAGTATAGGAAAAATAAGGACTTATACAGCTTTAAAAATAAATAATAAATGACCATAACACATACTAAACTTCTAACCTAGAACATTCCTTTTTTATTTATTATTTATTTATTATTATTTTCTTTTCTTTGGACAGGGTGTCACTATGTAGTTGAGACTGACCTGGAACTCACTATGTAACCAAGCTGGTCTCGAACTTGCAGTAATCCTCCTGCCTCAGCCTCCCAAGTGCTGGGATTACAGGTGTGCACCACCATGCCCGGTGAACATTCCTTTTTAAAATCCTATACCTGAGACAAATAATACCTTAACAAATAACTTTCTCTTGAAATTGTTGTATCTACCTATGAACAATAATAAGTCAAAATGTTGAAAGTTCCATTTTTCTATCCTCCATCCTATGTGACATCAAAATATCACAATATAGAAAAATATAAGGAAAACTTTAAATATAAAAGTAATCTGTCATAAAGCAATCAATCTTTCACTTAGTAATCAAGTGAAATATACCTTAAATACATTGGGCACATTATTCTGTTACTCATGCAAGTATTTACTGGGTGTCCACCGTGATACAGGCTATGGAAATAATGGTGAACAAATAGGACAAATCCTATCCAGTGCTTCCCTTGCAGGGAGAGAAACAGAAAAGGTTAGTACACAACAAAAGGCAAAAATGTTTACCTCTTCTACAGTGCAGTGAAATGAGGAACAGACTACTGAGCAAGTCAGTGGGCAAGGGTAATGAGAAAGGGACTCTGAGGAAATAAAACTAGTGGTCGCCAAAGGCAGTGGAGGCAGAGGGAACAATGTGGCCAGAGGTCCTAAGCTAGCAAAAGGCCTGGCCAACAGGAGAGGCGGCAGCCATGAAAGGAAAAGGCTAGTCGGTAAGGTATGGAGCAGAAAGACACTGAGCCAGGCCTACCTTATATAGACCAGAGGATGAATTTTATTTTTTGAATGATGAGAAGCCACTTAAGGTTTTCTAAAGGGAATGATACAATCTGATATAAGTTCTAAAATTATCCCAAGGGTGTGTGGAAAATTACAATGAATGGATGGTGGCAAAAATTAATTCAAAATGTGTAAGATTTAAATGTGAAAATACTATAGAATTCTTAGAGGAAAGTACAGATATAAATCTTTATGAGCTTGCAGTAAGAAAGTTTCTTAGAAACTATGTTACAGTTTAGATCAAAAATTCCCCCTAAAGCCTCATGTGGAAAGGTGGGGCTTTATGAAGTTGCCTGGATCATGCGGGTGCCATACTCATCACCAGCTAAATCCATCTAGAGCTCAGCAGCTGAGTGTTCTGCTGGGAGGTGATGCCCGGTCAGAAGGGGCAGATCACTGGGGATGTGCCCTGCTTTCTGTTCCCTCACTGCTTCCTAACAGCCAGGATGCGAGCAGCTTTCCTCCAAAAGACCCCTATGCCATCCTGTTTCTGCCTGGAGCCAGCCAACTAAGAATTGAAACTTAAATCTTAAGTAGTGTGTGTCAGGTATTATGTCCCAGAGATAAGAAAGTGACTAGGACATTAGATAGGACACCAAAAGCACACACACACACACAAAAAAAAGAAGTGAAAAGAAAACACTGGCAAGCTGGACTTCATCAAAATTACTTCTAACTTTTCCTTTAAAAGATACTGTCAAGTTGGGCCTGGTGGTGCACACCCATAATCCCAGCACTCGGGAGGCTGAGGCAGGAGGATCTCTGTGAGATCTGGACCAGCCTGGCCTACAGAGTGAGTTTCTGGGCAGTCTCAACTACATAGTGAGTCC